TGGACCAAGCCATTGTACTATTTTCCCACCAAAAGATCATCTCCTGGTAGCTGCTCCTTCTGCCCAAATGTGTTAGAGCAGGGGTCCTCAAACTGTTTCAACAGGGGGCCAGGTGAAAGGCAGTGGTGGCCGGCATGGGCCCATGAGGCGGGGGTGCCCGCAGGTGCGGACTGGGGAGGCGGTGGTGGCGGTGGTGGCGGGTGTGGGGAGTCCAAAACCTCTGACTCCTGCCGCAGTATCCTTTCTCCTTTTTAAATTTACATTTTATAGTCAGAGTGGCCAACCGAGCACATATTTACCGATTAAATTTATATCCCAGGGCAATGCATATGATCGCCTCTCTATTTTGTACTAATGAGAATCATGTGAGGTGGGATAGGCTAAGAATCCCTGAGCTTCACGACGGAGTGGGAACTAGAATCCAGGTCTCCGGAATCAGACATTATATCATACTGGCTCTCAAGCTGTTTTGTTGTTGTTGTTGTTGTTGTTGTTGTTGTTGTTAGTTGCAAAGTCATGTCCGACCGATCGCAACCCCATGGACAACATTCCTCCAGACCTTCCTGCCCTCCACCATCCCCCGGAGTCCACCTAAGCTCACACCAACTGCTGCAGTGACTCCATCTAGCCACCTCATTTTCTGCCGTCCCTTCTTCTTTTGCCATCTATTGTTCCCAGCATTAGGCTCTTCTCCAGGGAGTCCTTCCTTCTCATTAGGTGGCCTTTGTATTTGAGTTTCATCTTCAGTATCTGATCTTATAAAGAGCAGTCAGGGTTGATCTCCTCTAGGACTGACCAGTTTGATCGCCTTGCAGTCCAAGGAACTCGCAGGAGTCTCCTCCAGCACCACAACTCAAAGGCCTCAATCCTTCGGCGCTCAGCCTTCCTTATGGTCCAGCTTTCACAGCCATACATTGCAACTGGGAAAACAATAGCCTTGACTATACGCACTTTTGTTGGCAGGGTGATGTCTCTGCTTTTTAGAATGCTGTCTAGATTTGCCATAGCTTTCCTCCCCAGGAGCAAGTGTCTTTTAATTTCTTGGCTGCAGTCCCCGTCTGCAGTGATCTTGGAGCCCAGGAAAAAAAAATCTGTCACTACCTCCATTTCTTCCCCATCTATTTGCCAGGAAGTGAAAGGACCAGATGCCATGATCTTAGGTTTCTTAATGCTGAGTTTCAAGCCAACTGTTCTGCTCTCCTCCTTCACCCGCATCAAGAGGCTCTTTAGTTCCTCTTCACTTTCTGCCATTAGAGTGGTATCATCTGCATATCTGAGGCTGTTATTTCTCCCAGCAATCTCAATTCCAACTTGTGATTCATCTATTCCCACCTTTCTCATGATGTGCTTTGCATAGAAGTTAAACTGGCAGGGCGACAGTATACAGCCTTGCCAAACTCCTTTCTCAATTTTGAACAAACCAGTAGTTTCGTAACCAGTTCTCACTGTTGCTTCTTGAGAGCTAGTGTGGTGTAGTGGTTAAGAGCAGGAGACTGGGACTCAGACAATCTGGGTTCTAGTCCCCCTCAGTCATGGAGCCAACTGGGTGACTTAGGGCCAGTCACAGACTCTCAGCCCAACCTACCTCACAGGATTGTTGTGGGGATAAGATGGAGGAGATGTAAGCTGCCTTGAGCCCTTTGTAGGAAAAAGGCAGAATATAAATCGAAAAATAAAAATAAATAAATAAATAAATAAATAAATATAGGTTTCTCAAGAAACAAATAAGATGGTCTGGGTACTCCCATCTCTTTAAGAACTTGCCACAGTTTGTGATCCACATAATCAAAGGCTTTAGCATAGTCAATGAAACAGATTTTTTTCTGGAACTCTATGATCCAGTGTATGTTGGCAATTTGATCTCTAGTGCCTCTGCCTCTTTGAAATCCTGCCTGTACTTCTGGCAGTTCTCGGTCCACATACTGCTGGAGCCTAGCTTGTAGGATTTTGAGCGTAACGTTGCTAACATGTGAAATGAGTGCAATTGAACATTCTTTGGCATTGCCCTTCTTTGGGATCGGAATGTAAACTGACCTTTTCCAATCCTGTGGCCACTGTTGAGTTTTCCAAATTTGCTGGCGTATAGAATGTAGCACTTTTACTGCATTGTCTTTTAAGATTTTGAATAGCTCAGCTGGAATACTGTCACCTCCACTAGCTTTGTTGCTGCTCAGACTTCCTAAGGCCCATTTGACTTCACATTCCAGGATGTCTAGCTCGAGGTCAGTTACCAACCCATCATGGTTATCAAGGACGTTGAGCTCTTTCTTGTATAGTTCCTCTGTGTAATCTTGCCATCTCTTCTTAATCTCTTCTGCCTCTGTTAGGTCCCTTCCATTTTGGTCCTGTATCATGCCCATCTTTGCATGAAATGTTCCCTTCATATCTCCAATTTTCTTGAAGAGATCTCTAGTCCTCCCCAATCTATTGTTTTCTTCTATTTCTTTGCACTGTTCATTTAAGAAGGCATTCTTATCTCTTCTAGCTATTCTCTGGAATTCTGCATTCAATTGGGTGTATCTTTCCTCTTCTCCCTTGCCTTTTGCTTCCCTTCTTTCCTCAGCTATTTGTAAAGCTTCCTCAGACAGCCATTTTGCTTTCTTGCATTTCTTTTTCTTTGGAATGGTTTTAGCTGCTGCCTCTTGTACAATGTTGTGAACCTCCATCCATAGTTCTTCAGGCACTCTGTCTATCAGATCTAATTCCTTAAATCTATTTGTCACCTCTACAGTATATTCATCAGGGATATGATTTAGGTCATACCTGAGTGGCCTAGTGCTTTTCCCTACTTTCTTCAACTTTTAAGCCTAAATTTTGCAACCAGAAGCTCATGATCTGAGCCACAGTCGGCTCCTGGTCTAGTTTTTACTGACTATGTAGAGCTTCTCCATCTTTGGCTGTAGAGTACACAGTCAATCTGATTTCTGTGTTGACCGTCTGGTGATGTCCATGTGTAGAGTCGTCTCTTGGGTTGTTGGAAAAGAGTGTTTGCTATGACCATCGTATTCTCTTGACAAAATTCTACCAGCCTGTGCCCTGCTTCATTTTGTACTCCAAGGCCAAACTTCCCTGTTATTCCAGTTATCTTTTGGCTTCCTACTTTAGCATTCCAATCCCCCATGATGATAAGGACATCATTTTTGGAGTTAATTCTAGAAGGTGTTGTAGGCCTTCATAGAACTGGTCAACCTCAGCCTCTTCAACACCAGTGGTTGGGGCATAGACTTGGACTATTGTGATGTTGAATGGTTTGCCTTGGATTTGAACTGAGATCATTCTGTCATTCTGGAGATTGTATCCCAGTACTGCTTTTCCTACTCTTTTATTGACTATGAAGGCTACTCCATTTCTTCTGAGGGATTCTTGCCCGCAGTAGTATACCTGATGGTCATCTGAATTAAATTTACCCATTCATGTCCATTTTAGTTCACTGATTCCTAAGATGTCGATGTTCAGTCTTGTCATCTCTTGTTTGACCACATCCAGCTTGCCTTGATTCATGGATCTTACATTCCAGGTTCCTATGGAGTATAGATCTTTGCAGCATTGGACTCTCCTTTCACCACCAGATACATCAGCAACTGAGTGTCCTTTCGGCTTTGACCCAGTCACTTCATTCTTTCTGGCGCTACTAGTACTAGGCCTTCCCCAGTAGCATATTGGACACCTTCCGACCTGAGGGGCTCATCTTCCGGCGTAATATCTTTTTGCCTTTTGGTACTGTCCATGGGGTTTTCATGGCAAAGATACTGGAGTGGGTTGCCATTTCCTTCTCCAGTGGACACCATACTTGCCTTATACAAATTCGTGATGTGACCACACTTATAATGCACTGTGCAGTATGGCACACTGTACTGCACCTAAGAAAGAACATTACTGAGTTGGAAAAAGTATAGAGAAGGGTGCCTAAAATGATCAAGGGGTTGAAGCAAGTCCCCTATGAAGAATAGCTACAGCAACAGGGAATGCTGAGGTTAGAAAAAAGGCGAGCAAGGGAAGATATGATAGAGGTGTTTAAAATTATGGTGCAGAGGAAGTGGAGAGGAAGACATTTTTCTCTTGCTCACAGAATACTAAAACCGATTATGCTGAGTGGTGGGAGAGTCAGGAAAAAATAAGTGAAAACACTTCTTCATACAGCACATAGTTAAACTATGGCATTCATTTCTACAAGATGCAGGGATCTCTGGCTACCAGTTTGGATGGGTTTCAAAGGGACTGAAGAAGGCTATTAAAGCCTACTAGTCAAGATGGCTTTGTGGCATCTCCAGCATCAGAGACAGTGGGCCTATGCACAGCAATCACCAGAATGCAGAAACACTTGGCTGTGGGGCTGGCGGGAAGAAATGTTATTTGCGTACTTTCTAACAGAAAGAACACACATGGCCATATTAAAAAATAAATAAATAAAGAGATGCTAAGGTAAGATTCTGAAATCACCATCTCACTGCACTTCTTCTCTTGTCTGAAGAGAAGAATTATGTAGGTCGCCTTGAATTCCCTAAAGGAGAAAAGGCGGGATAAGAAAGAAAGAAATCTGGGCATCTGGAAAGCTTGCACATGTCCCCTCCCTCCTGCGTCGAAGGGTGTTATCCCGGCCAAGATCTTCTGCACCGAACAACTGCGCAGCGAAGAGCTCGGCCCAACTCTCGAGCGCGCTGCCTCAGTTTCCGCCGTGTAACCCCCGAAGCGGAGCCCCAGCGCGCCTCGGGACGAACTCCGCTCGGGCCCCCACCAGGCGGGGCGCGGCGCGGCGCAGACCAGCCACCTGTTGCGCCCGCCGCGGGCGGGGCGGAGGCCGCGGCGTCACGTGCGCGGCGGGGGGGGGGCGAAAGAAAGTGACTCACGGCTCCCGCGACCAATCTCAGGGGCGGATCCTGCGGGCGAGCGGCGGTCCCGAGGGCGGGCGCAGGGCTGGGCCACGCCACGCCACGCCACGCGGGGAGATAGCTGGAGCCGCTTCCTCCCGTGCGCACTCGCTCGCCCGCCCGCTGGCCAGCTGGCGGCTCCCCGGACGCAGGCGCAGGCACAGGCACAAGCGCAAGCGCTCCTTCGCTGGTTAGGGGTAAGTGGTGCGCCTGCCGCCGCCGCTTCTTCGCAGCCCGGGCTGCGCTTCGCTTACCTGTTGGGTGGGGGCCCCGTGGATCTGGCTTCAGGTTCTGTGCAGAAGGGCCGGGAGAAGATTTGCACCGTCAGGGTCGCTCTTTCCCTTCCCTGAAGAAGAAATCTGGGGATCTCGAAAGCTTGCACAGTTTTTCCCGTTATGTGTCTGCGTGGGGCTGGGAGTGGGGGAAGCAATGGCCCCAAATCTTCCTTGCACCTAGCCAGGTTTTCTGCCTAGAACCAAACTCGCCGCCCCGCCGTGCTTTTCGCCTCAATGGGACGAGGCTGGTGCGGATGCTTGGTGGATGCCCGAACCTTTCGGGGGTGCCTTTCAGCTTTGGGGGTCGTCTGTAGGTACGGAACAGGAGAAAACATCCCTCCTGGACGGAATTTGCAGAATAAGTAGTGGCGGGGGAGCCTCGGCAGGCGGTGCAGGCGCACGAGCAGGAGAGAGGCTTCCCTCGTCCTCAAGCTGTCGCAACCTGCTGCCCAGCGGATGGGTTGAACTTGCATCGTCTGCACTTGACGAAGCCAGCAGCGCGGGGTGGTTGGAGTTGTAGTCCAGACCATCCCGTGCACGCCAAGTTTAGCAAAGGCTGAGGTGCAAGCTCTCCTCCCCTCGCTCTGAGCCCACGCGCTGATTTATGACGCTTCTATCTCGCAGGGACCCCAAGGTGGCCCGCAGCATTCTCCTCTCCCTTCCACCCTCACAACAACCTGGCAGGTAGGTCAGAGTGAGAGTCGGTGACTGGCCCCACGTCTCTTCGTGGACTGACTCACTGGCCGAGTGCGGCCAGAAGTCGCATCTCCTGAGTTCCGTCGGGCCAGTCCTCTACGGTTAGGCTCCCCTGGCCGCCCTCGTAAGGCTCCCCGAGGCAATCCGAATGTGCAACTCTTAAAGAGAACTTTTTAGCGCGTGTAACGCACCGGCCCCCTGTGGACTTCTGCTCGGGTCAACCCGCTCTCCCTTCGCTTTATTCTCGATTTCATTTATTAAAAGGCGATGAGTGCGGGCAGGACACGGTTGGAGCTTAGCGGGATGGAAGAGGGGCGTCACGTTTGAAACCGCCTCCCTCCTCTGACCCTGCTGCGCGTGCCGTTTCCAAGTTGTGGGGGAGGCGGTTAGGGGGATCACCTGAGCCGCGGGCTCTCGGGCTGCTTGCGGTAGCCTTTGTTGAGCACATGGGAGCTGCCGTGATCGGATTACGCCGCTACGGCTCAAGGGCCAGTGGAAGGGATGCAGAGGTGTTCCCGACCTGACCTACAAAACGGAAGCCGCTTGGACGCTCATCCCGCCCGCCCGGGGATTGTTTGCCCAGCTGAGGAGGCCGGAGAGCAGAATCGGTGTGGTTTGTTTGCTGGTAGAGCCCTCCTAGCTTCCAAAGCCCTGGCTGAACTTGCGAATGGTAAGCTTGCCTTTCTCACTGCTCTCTCTCGTTTTATCCACAGGGGCTGCCTAATGGTGTTCACGGCCCCTGTGGATAAAACCACCATCTCTTTCTCCAGTGGCCCCAAAGAAGGTTGTGTGTGTGGTGTTTAAAAGAACGCCTCTGCCTATATGGCATCTTGGAGACAGCTGTTGCAATGTTCTGATAGGACTTGGAACCTGTAAGAACAAGTTAGCGTCAAGGATAGAAGCACAAGCGGAGGAGCTTGTGCTGCTTTCCTCATTGTGCAAGGTGTTGTTATCTGTGATACTATCTGCTGGGAATTGAGTGGTTTATCTTCCTCTACACCCCCAAAGGGAGTACTAATGTTTTCTGTGTATTTGCCTATTCAAACAGGCATAAGGTGACTGTTTGGGGGTGCATTTTAAAATTCTTGTTATTGCAAAGCTCTCAGTTTGTGATCTCGTCTCCCTCCCCTTCTCTTTGAGGACTGCTTAAGAAATTCACCTACCACCAAGGGTTAAACTTTTGCTCATTCATAAAACTTTACTGGATGTGATGAAAGGGGAGAGAGAACCTGTGATGCAAAACTGGCTGTAACTTCTTAACTACTTAATATTAACTGATGCAGCCTGGGAAGTTGAATCACTTGAAAGGAAGGCTCATTACTGATAGAGTCTTGAAAAAATTCCATTAGCATTTGTCACACTGCACTTTCTGATGGACATTTGACTAGCTCTGAACCAAGCCAGATGGTTGGAAGGTTCATTGCTCAAATCCAATTACTTTAACCACAACTGCTGTGTCCTGTTTGTCCCGCTTCTGGTGGGTGATCCCTCCCTTTCCTACATTAAAGAATGATGCCTGACATTTTCAAAGACCAACCTGAGTGTTTCTTAACTGGATCATTTAGTTCATAGAAACAGAGTGAGTCATAAGGGGTCTCTCAGGCCATCTAGTCTGACCCCCGGCTCCAGCCTGCCATGTTCATTTCTTGTAATCTTTCTCTGCCCCTTCTCAAGGGGTTGGGGATCCATTGTGAGTTTCTTGATACGTAAAAGCTAGGTTCAGATTCAGCCATGAAATTATTTGCCTGCCCTTGGGCAGGCCTCATTATCATGCCCTGTGAACTACGTAGGGATGGCAACCGCAGAAATTCATGTCATCCAGAGGCTGTCCGGATGTAGGATGATTTAATTATGCTGAATGACTCCCAGGGGAAGGGCTATCCAACAAACCACACTAGTAAGAGTGAGTTTGCCTCTAGGAACTGCAATTAGTTCAAGCTCTTTGAGTATAACTGTATTTTACTCAAATATTGTTTTGGGATACACTGAAAAATGAAATGTGTGAGGAAGCCCTAAGTATGGGGAAGAAATGGTCTGATGGGTTCTCTTAGCATGTGGACACCAGTGACTCCAGTTATATGAAATTCACTGATAGAGGAAAGGATTAGCATAATACTATTGTTGTGATTGTTCTTATTATTACATTATACTTCTATTGCTCTCATAGCTGAAACTCTGGGCAGTTCACAACATTAAAGTCACTCATCCAGATTTCAACCAGGCCCAGCACTGCTTAGCTTCCAAGATTAGGCAAGATGAGGCATTCAGGCTATACTGTGAGTGACATAAAGAAAAAGGCAGGATATAAATCTAAAAATAATGCATAGGCTTGAAAGATCATCTTAGCACTGGAAGTGATAAGTTTGGTGAGCTTATCACATCTTGTTGGCAGCTTTAGCTAGACATTGTCCCACTGACAAAATTTTTCTCTTCGATATGGCAGGCAGATATGCAACAGGCTTAGCTTGTGCTACAAGCAGATGTGTACAAACTTGTGCAATATCTCAAGCATGCATTCATTAAGGGACCGTTCACAATAGATGGCTGGCAGGAGGAAACCTGGGTGACATGCACTAACTTCCTCAAGAACTGGGAAATTCATTAAATACACATTTAAACATTTAAAATGCACATTCATTAATTGGGAAATTAACTTTATAGAGCATTTAGAAATTAAAGCAAGTGAAGCACCAAATGCATTGAAATGAAAGGGGAAATTAGCTCAGTTTTCTTGGTTAAATCAAGGGCTTTGGTGCTGAAAACAAGCCACAGATGTGTGTGGATTGTCTGGAAAGGGATAAGGAAAAGGGATAAGTTTAAGGAGGCTGGGGATAAGGAAATGTGGAGCCCCCAGCTTTAATAAGAAAGAAAAGGAACTGTTCAGGGTGACCTTATAAGGAGGGTTTTCTTTTCCAAAGGCTAGTGCGATTGAGTCCATTGTCAAAGGAGCTGAGGAGTTGCAGAAGTGGCAGCACACACTGAGTTTTGGTGCCTTGTGTGCAATCTCAGTCTCTTCTTCCAAATCTTTATTATTGATAGCTAGAATCTTATTTGGCCTCACTGATCACAGTTGACACGAAGAGAGATGGATGAGTTGCTCAAAGGAGGAGCATGGCTGCCTTTCCAGAGGACTAAGGGAAGGCTAATGTTACATAGTTGCGCAACTGAATACTGTCATAAATTAGACCAAATTGTGCTCCAAACCCTTGGAAAAGGACACCACAGTTTCTGTAAATTCTGAAAAATGGAAAAAAATAGGTGGCAAATAGTAGTCCCAGGCTAGAACAATAAATTTAGGGCAGCTCTTGAGTAATGTCATCCCATAGAAACATTTGTTCAAGATGTCTTCATGCAGGTTTTACTTGCAGAGTAACTTAATCAGTATGACTTATCAACCAACAATTACTTGAATGTATCTTTATTGTTAACTGCTTTTAGAGTTTGAAATCACTTATGTGTAAATAAATATTAAATAACTACATAGAAAGGTGATTTGGGAATGGGTAGTAACAATAGGAAATTTCCTATTTATATTCCCACTTATAACTAGACATCTAATCATGTTTGGGGGTGAAAAAAGGCATATATGATCACACTGGCATTTCCACCCTAAGTTTACTGAATATTTGCTGTTTAACTAGACAGGTTTTGCTAAATCTGATCTTGTATATGTGAACAGCCTGCTAATACTTGCCTAGCCTAACCATAGGCAGGCAGTTCTGGAGAAAGTGATCCTATTGAGTGGGTCAGTTGGTAATCTGCTCTCGCACCTTGATAATTGCCCCCAGATAATCTGAGTATGTCTGGGCAATCTGGGCATACTTGGGAAAGTAAGACATGTTCTTGGATACCACCACAAATGGCTTCTGTGAGAGAAGCCCAGAAGACTGAGCACAAGGCAAAATGTTACATATGAATTCTGGTGCACTAAACAATTCTTCTGAACCCAAACTTTTCATCACCAGCAGAAACTTAATTCACTACAATCCCATCTGCTGGTAAGAAAATATAATTAAGGGGAGGGGGGGACTATTAGTAGCTACACACTATCAAGGAAGGAGTACTTGTTTCCTGTGAAATTGTTTTCCTGTCTAAGGTATTCCTTAGAGGCCACTGTTGTGGTAAATACCTTTAAGAGTTTCTGTTGTGTGATGGTGTCTGAAAGGGTTATTTGTCTGGGATATTTATACTGAATAATTTCTCTTCAACTATGAAAGAGCTTCTCA